GGTTTCCCGACCGACCCTATTTATTCCCAGCGACCCTAAACATTAAAAATTAAAATTAATTGGACAGTTCCTGCTTCAAAAGGCACAACGCACATCCTTCAGACATGGTTCCTAAATAAAATGTTTCAATAAAATAAAATGTTTTCCCTACATACCTACCCTATTTTTTTCGGCATGAAACCACACATATATTTTGTTTTGACCTTACAGAGATCTGCATCAACAATTAGATGTCTACGTAAACAGCATAGCGTGAGGGTGCGGCGTTGCCATCAGAAATCACGGTTTTCACCACAAAGAATGTCTGAAGACCGTCGTGATAAGTCTCATCATTGCAACCACCGCCACGCGCGCGACGGCGAAAACAAGCGAGCAGCACCACCGCTGCCCGCCGATGCGTCGTCGGTGACAATGAGCGCCACCTATAACTTCCCGAACAACCGCGGCCGGCCCAGACCAAACTGGGCAACGAGATCAAACCTGTATAATAGGGTCATTACTCGATGGAGTGTCCTTTATAGACAGGTTTCCGTTCCACAGAGGTGACCGCCGCCAACACGGGCGCGACCGTACTTCCCTCGCCCAAAAAAACAAAAAACAAAAAAAAACAAAGATGCTCACCTGTTTCTTGACGACCTTCTTCTTCGACGCCGCCGCGTCCTCCGCGTCCGAACTCTCCGAGTCTGAATCCTCGGAGGAGTCGGAGGATGCTGCGGGTTTCTTCTGCGCAGGCTTCACGGCCGCGGCGGACTTCCCCCCAGCATCTTCCTCATCCTCGCTGTCGGAATCTGACACGGGGAGAAACGAGATGACGATATCAGAGAGGTGCGTTAGAACACGCCACTCGCTTTTTGTTGTTGTTGTTGTTGTCGTTGTCTTTTCACATTAGTTTTGTTTTCGTTCGTCGACAATTAACGTAGAATTATCGTTGTGTTTGTTTTTATTGTTTTGTTTTTCGATAATTAATGAAGAATAACTTGTTGTTTTTTCGGGTTGTTAGTTTATAGAAATTCTAAAAAAGTGCCCGTTCATAAATCTAACGTTTCGCACGGTGTTGCCATCAGAAATCACGGTTTTCACCACAAAGAATGTCTGAAGACCGTCGTGAAAAGTTTCATCATTGCAACCACCGCGACTCAAGCGCAGCGAGACATGCCCGAGACCCATCAACAAACGATCTACGATGCAGCAGCGAGAGAGAGAGAGAGCGAGAGTGAGAGTGAGAGTGAGAGTGAGAGTGAGAGTGAGA